CCCAACTTGAGACATCCTCTCACCCAGGTGCAGAAGTAACATGACCTTGACTCAGAAGAAGAATGCTATTATGTCTAACCACATACCCTCCAAGAAATTCCCCCCTCCCATTTTCCCAGGCTCAAGAATGTGGCAACGTGGAAGCGTCTGGTGCTAATATGGCTTCCAAAGCTGACATATCTTTAGGCATAAGACAGTGCTGAGGGAGTGAGGTGTTTAGCAGAGCCATGGCGTGAGGGAGGAGATCATCCAAACCCACCTCTTGGGGCTCCTGCAAAACCAACCGCTTCTCCTGATTTTCTGCACTCTGTTTATAGGATGGAAAATGAGCTTACTGCCAACATGCTCAGCAAAAGTATTACCTGCCTGCACCTTTGTCCAGACCAAATCCCGAGTTCGATTTCTTTCCACGCTATATTGATTTTATCTATTTCTTAGAGGCCTTCTGGACTGGTGGTCTTTCCAAAGAGGCTTACCATCAAAAACCAGCATCACTCCTCACCTTCCCACCTCAGAGAAAGAGAAGACTTCCACTGCTTGACCTTGCAGTGACCAACAGCTGCTGACCAGCTTCCTATCGGCCAGACCAAGGACAGCGTTGATGTTTCCAGCTTTGAGCAGCTCCTCTTTAGCACAGCCGAACAAAAGCCTAGAAAAACAGAAGTCCACCGTGATCTCAGGTCGACTTACCAGGCAACAACAAAACCAGTTAACACGTGACTATCAAGTACAGCACAATGTAGTTCCACGATGGGAGTAACACACTGATAAAAAATACCAACATGCTATTGTGAAGTGAAAACAGGCTCTGGGATTTGCTTGTCAAAGGCTGCCCGCCTGCAATGCTGGATCTATATAAATGGCAAATTTGGATGCTGGGAGTCTTTCACAGAAGGTCCTGCCACCAAAGGCTCCCACCAGCTCGGGGTGAGGGAGCATCAACGTGCTGACCACGCCCAGCTGTACTTCTCCACCTCACCCCAGCACAGAGACAGGGCAGAAGTCCCGTTCTGCTACGTGGGAAGTTCATTGTGTCCTTGAATCAGAGCAGTCGGTTTTGCCACCTCGGCAAACTCTTGTCACGCTCAAAGGCGTCATGCACACTTGCCTTATCTCGGCTGTCTCCAGGCGCCCCAGCACTGCGCACACCACGCTGTGAGCTCCCGACAGGGGAACTATTTGAAGAACTGGAAGCTGGAAAAGAGAACAGCAGGATCGACAGCGCTTCCCTTCTGGGCCAGACACAGCCTGAATATAGAAAGCAGCAGAGGGACCCCTGGCCCGCCAACCTTCCCAGTGCTGCACACAGATACACAGCAGCATTGACTGCTCCGCTTAGGGCCATAACTAGGCCATACAAGTAGTCCTCGACACAGCCAAGCCCAAAATTTGTGTTGGTAAGCGAAACATTTGTTAAGTGAGCCTTGCCTCATTTGTTGTGGTTCGCCGGCAGCGGAATCGGACAGTGGGGAAGAACGGGGACCAGTCCGGGAGTCTGGAGAGGACTCAGACAAGGGTCCTGCGTCCGATGCAGGGATGGGGCCAGGACCACCTGGGAGTGGGGTGCTGCCTTCGGAGCTTTTGGAGTCTGGCAGCAGCGAGGCAGAGGAACAGGGGGAGCCTGTTCCCAGAGCACGTGTGCACAGAGCTGCCAGAAGGCAAGAGCAGCTGAGACAAAAGGGGCAACTCGGGAGTAAGGCTGGGAGGTGATTGCCCCTCCCATAAGGTATAAAGAATAGACAAAGATGATGAAACCTTTGCAGGAAGCAAAGTCGTTCGTTTGGTTCACATTCATTCTTGAAGTTCTTTATACTTTGGTTGGTTTTTTTTTCTAGTTTGACACTTCTGTTATTGGCAGCACTTCACAGGGAAGAAAGGTGGATGCTTATCTTGAGGGACTATTTTGAGATTCATTACCGGCTGGGAATGAAAACAATTCCCAGCGTTGCAATAAAATAAGACTTGTTTTTAAAATAAGCATGTGCATAATTACAGTCTAGGAATCCTTGGTCAGAACACCATTTTAGGAACTTTCTTGCCACATTGGTTAAGTGAATCCCTGCAGCTGTTAAGTTAATAACACGGTTGTTCAGTGAATCGAGCTTCCCCGTTGGTTTTGTTGGTTTTTGGTCAGAAGGTCGCAAAAGCAGATCCCATGACCAGGCCAATGCTGCAAATGTCGTAAGTGCGAAAAATGGTCATAAGTCACTTTTTCCAGTGCTGTTTGCCACTTTGAACAGTCACTCAATGAACTACTGTAAAGTCGAGGACCACCTGTGTGCAGATGACTGCAAGGACCCACTCCAGACAAAAGGACGCCTGGTTCTCACATAGCCACTCACAGTGGGCTGATCACCGATTTGCTCTCCACACCTTGCCCAGAGTGACTTCCGCCTTACCTGGCCACTCCCAGAGCTCCCCTCCAGCAGCCCACCTGCAAGAGTCGCCTGCAGAGTCTGAAGGGGGAGTGGAAACCAGTCCAGCACCGAGCAGTTGCAGCCAAGAACTGCATGCTGGGTTTTAGGGTTAGCCTTTTCCCCCATTCATTTATATTAAAACATGCAATTGTTTTATTATAGCATAATACAAAATTAGTTTATACCTTTATAGCAAGGGTCTTCAAACTTGACGGCTTTAAGACGCGTGGACTTCAACTCCCAGAATTCCTCCTCCTCCAGTCATGTTAGCTCAGGAATTCTGGGAGCTGAAGTCCGCAAGTCTTAAACTTGCCACGTTTGGAGACCTTTGCCTTAAATGCACCCCTAGGCAAGCAACACCCACAACTTTTGCTCATGGGGGGGGCAGTGCCAAATCTTTCACCAGTCTTCAGGTCGAAAAGACTGCAGCTGGGTGGTAAAAGGAGGCCCGCCAGCAGCAGGCCCAGGGCAGTGCCACCCATGCCAGCTGAAGCACCAGCAGCCTGGCCTACCTTTGTAAAGTGCCAGGTGTGCACCGTCCCCCACTGGCCAGGTTCCAGAGGCCTCCAGAGAGAGATGGAGGCTTCCTCGGCTGTCACCATACACAATTCCGCGAAGTCAGTGGCTTCCCACCACACGGCGCTCATGTCCACCAAGCAGGAGCCGGAGCCGTTCTGAGGGAGAGTGGGGGGAGGCAGAATGAATTGGAGGAGCCAATTGGAGGAGCTGGCAAGAGCCGACCGGATGGACAGGGCCAGAGCGTCCTCTGCGGGGGCACAGCCCAGCGTCTCCTCCCACCAGGTTTAGCCCATCCACCCACCCACCCGTGCACTCATGAAGGCCCTGCCTCGCCAGAGGGACCCCGCCCGCTTGGACTTCTCGCTCTGGCCTCCGACCGAAGGCTTTGAAAGCTGCCACGGAGCTGCTGCCCTGCGTTGAAAATGCTTTTGTGGCCTACGTTTCACGAGACATTGCAGGGGGTCCTTGCCTTACAACCAGTCCCCCAGAGACTGACTGGAGATACAGTGGACCCCACGAAAGGTATGTCCCAGATTCAAAGTTTCAAAAGCACCCCCCCCCCATGGTCATGTGATCACATTTTGGCCACTTGGCCACTGGTGATCCTGTCGCAGGACCAAGGAAGGGCTGGGCTGCTGCTGGAAAGCCAAATGCCCGCTCGGCTGCAGCGCCAGCCCAGTCAAAGGCACAGCCCACCCAGGTGTGGTATGGCTGCCCCTAAGATAAAGCCCAACACCGCCCCGGAGGTTCTGCTTCAAGAGGAAACACTGTGATGACCCAAAGGGTCGTAGCATGAAAGCACCCAAGTCACAAAAGCAGGTAAAGTTCCTTTAATTCCTCCAACTTGGCCCCCAATGTCCAATTATCATTGGCTGGAGGGAAAACTCCCAAAAACAGTTTTTAAAAGGAAGAAATTCTGTCCAAACTCAAAGTACATATAAACTATAAATAAAAACCAACACAAACCATGCTGCAGCAATTAATGAGACAGGGCAGGATAAGGGATTGAAGACGTCAAAAGATAACGAAACACACACACACTTGGGAGGACGCCAGGACTCAGATAAGACTTGACAAACCAGAATAATTTCATGCTTTGCTTCCAGCAACTTTACTGTGCACAGTTTGCCCTTTTAAACAGTCTTCCCAGCTGCAGCCAAGGAAGGGGATCAGGGCCCTTTCCTCCCCCATAAACCACGCAACTCCCGTTGCTCCCTTCTCCGTTCCTCCCTGCGTGCCCTAGGATGAAGAGGGGGTGAGCCTGGGTCTTCCTCTGAATGCCCAGCCCGACTGTGCCCTTCCCCAGCCTCCTCCACAGCCACCGGAGCCACACTCCCACTCCCTGTCAGCTGTTCCACCTCTCCCTGGGAATCAGATTCCAACAGGGGCATGACAAACATGTTCCCCCAGGGCAGGATGGATACCACAAACACGCCATTATCAGGGTCACCCTAGGTTTCTAACGATACAAAAATGCTGGAGAATTCTAAACCATTTTTTTCTCCCTTAACCTTCAGTTTTGAAGTCATTTTCAAGCGTCCTTCTCTCAGAGTGCCCGCCGGTGCCTCCACTTGGTCCTCCTTTGCTGGGCCGCTCTGTGGAGACAAATGGCAAGAGAGGATGCCTGTCAGATCAGACTCCCGCAGGGCCCTCTGGGAAGCAGCTGCACCCTGGAACCCAGCTCCCTCCGCACCACAGCAAATGCTCCATTGCCGGAGGGGTTTTGTTTCATTTGGGCTGATGGGAAAAAGGATGGCAAGCAGGAACGCTCCCCAACCGAACTCAATTCCTTGGAAAAGGTGGCCCAGAATATGCAATACTTCGAACTGTAGCCGTCTGCTACCCTAACAGAGGAACAGAGTTGGAAGGGACCTTGTAGGTCATCTAGTCCAACCCCCCTACCCAAGCAGGAGACCCTACACCATTTCTGACAGAGGGCAGTCCAGGCTCTTCTTCAAAGCTTCCAGGGATGAAGCTCCCACAACTTCCGAAGGCAAACATGCTTTGTGCAGAAAAGCCAGGCCATTCCCCAAATTAAACTCTTCAGCATGGAGGTCAGGGAGGAGTTCTAAAATGCCAGCAGGTGATTCAGCTGCTCCAAGAGGTCAGTTTGCTGGACAAAGAGGGCAGCTGACAAAGTCAGGGCGGGGGCCACTGACCATCACAAGCAGGGAGTCCGAGGCCCACCAGGAGGAGAGTAAAATTTACAGACTGAGGAATAAGCCAGAGCAGAATGACCGGCCACGTGGCCACTGGGACAAAGGAAGGGGAAAACCGAGGCCAGAAGGGAGAGACGGAGAGAAGAGGAATGGCCTCCTGTGGGGAACCGGGCCAGGCACAACCTAGAGGTGCCGTACCCGGGGGGGGGGGGGGGGGGGGGCAGCCAAGGAGGGTGCAAGGAAGGAGACATGCTCCACAGCATACAAAGGTGGTCACTGCGGCCCTCTTTGCATTCCCCCAGGTTGTTGTCTCACCTCAGCTACCTGGGTCTCCCAGATGCACCCGCTTTACCTGCCTGGGGGGCTCCTTGTCGCGCTCAAGCGGCTTCTGTGATGGGCTGGCGGCTTCTTCCTGGGCCTTCCTGCCGATGCCAGCTGGCGAACAAGGCTGCCCGATGCCCCTTCCTGGGTCAGGAGATGCTGCCACCGCTGCTTGCACAAGAGAGGCCCCAGGGCCGCCTGGGGAGGACTGCAGGGGAGCCGGGGTTGCCCCCACCAGGGGAAAATTAGGGCTTTGCAAAAGGCTCTGTCCAGCCTCCAAGGCCGGGGAGAGGAGCAGCTCACGGGAAGAAAGAGCGGAGGAGCCCCCACTCGTCCCGGACAGGAGGGTTTGCCCCAACGCTGCTCCTTCCTCGAGAGGAGCCTCCCCAGGGGGTCTCGGAGGACTCTTGCTGGATCCCCTGGCATCCCAGGCCCCCAATGGCTTCTCGGGACAGACTTTGAGCTTCTTGGATTTCAGGTGGCCGAAATCCTCCTCGGGCAGGTGGAACTCTTGAGGCGGCAGGCCGGGAGGCAGCCAGCCGAGGCGGGACCCCTGCCCACCCAGGGGGGTGAGAGGCAAAGCTGCAGGAGCAGGAGGATCCTCCACCATCCAGAGGGCAGGAGAAGCCAGACCTGGGGAGCTTGCTGGTGGGCTGCCTGCAAATGTGGAACAAACAAAAGAACCTTGCAAGGACATTTATACGTCTACCCGCTGCTACATTAGCAAAAATGTTCCCAAACAGATCATCCGAATGCTGGAAATGCAAACAAAAGCAAGGAACATATTACCATGCGTGGTGGACATGCCCTGTAGTAGGAAGTACTGGATAAGGACAAAAAAAAATGGATAGAAGGAATAATTAAACAACAAATTGAACTAAGATCTGAGACTTTTCTATTAGGGATAATAACAAGGTAAGAAAACGGAATATTTAATGCTACATTTATTAACAGCGGCAAGAATAACGTACGCACAAAATTGGGAAAAGGATAGTATGCCACTAGAGCAGGTGTCCCCAAACCTGGCAACTTTAAGACTTGTGGACTTCAATTCCTAGAATTCCTCAGCTATGCTGGCTGAGGAATTCTGGGAGTTGAAGTCCACAAGTCTTAAAGTTGCCAAGTTTGGAGACCTTTGCACTAGAGAGAAATGTGATAAAAAGGATATTAGAGTGTACCGAGATGGATTAGTTGACCATGGAGAGAAAAGACAGAGAAAAAACGGATTATTGCTTGACGTGAAATGCATTGTATGATTAGCTAAATAATATAGAGATGAATAGAGATGAAAGGACAATAGGACAAAGTAAATGTTATAGTGGACAGAGATAGATTATGGAATATAGACAAATGTACGGATAGTACAAATATACAGATTTATGTACAGTAAAAGTATGTACGCTATCACGGAAGTGTTGCAATGAATGGAAATGATGAAGTATATGAGAAAATTGTTTAAATAATAATAATAATAATAAAAAGAACCTTGCAAGACCCAAACCTCGATTTCTGAGCCCCCCAAGGATTGACTTCAAAGGCCGCCCCTCGTTCCTCCTCTCGGCAACTCCTAGGGAGACCCCAGGCCTCCGAAAACCCTCGGCTTGGAGGCCCGCTCAGTCTTCGAACGACACCCAAGGCTGGTGGGCTGCATGTGCCTTTTATTTGCAACTATAAGATGGAGACTTTTTATCCCACCTCCCAATATGCCCCCTACCCCGCACCTGAGGGAGTCCTGGGAAAGTAGGATCCCTTTAGCCTGCCTGGGAAGCTCTGCCCTAGGCACAAGGCATCTTCTCCTCCCCACCCAGAGGAAGCCCTGCAGGAAGGCCACCTGGGACATCCTGTGGGTGTCAGCTTTGGAAGCCCATACTGAGACCAGACGCTTGCACAGTGCTCTGGAAAGGCTTTTGTCAGAAGCTACTTGGGTGAAAAGTTGGGATATACACGCAGATAGATTAAACAATTTCATGACAAATTCCCCAACAAGCCAAAGGGTCCCCTTGGAGGGGGGAGAGGGGGTTAAGGGGACAATGCATTAACCTCTTGTTGTGATTTGTTTATTGTATTTTTCAGGACGTGATTTTTTTCAAGGGGGGATGCCTGTCAGCTTTGGAAGCCATACTCCACACTGCCACATTTGTGAGCCTGGGAAAATGGGAGGGGGGAATTTCTTGAAGCATATGTGGTTGGACATAATAGCATTCTTTTTCTAAGTCAAGGTCATGTTTTTTCTGCACCTGGGTGAGGGGACGTCTCAAGTTGGGACGCATGGTGATTGGGGCATGTGATGCGGTGATGGGTGCAGGGGGTGGATTTCTAGTTCTTTACTTATTGCAAGGAAGCCCAGAACTTTCAGATTCGGGATTCCCCAGTTGTGCCAGTTTACTATCCAATTAAAACAGAACTTTTGAGAAGATGCCCGTCTCGGAGTTGTTCTTGTTTGGAGTGGAGGTTTCCTGGAACGCTGACAGTGGGAAAATCCCCTTGTCCTGCACCTCAGAGAGACCACCAGGGTCTCCAAGGGACGGAAAGGGCCACACCCTACGGGGCGTGCTTGGAATCAGTGCCAGGGGGATCCCAGGAGGCTCCCCTGCAGTGAAGGCAGTGTTCCCCACCACCTCTTGGGTTTCTGGGTAAAGAACTCTGGACCACCTGAGGCTCAGACACCCCCCCCCAAGCTCAGGCTGGCCACTGGCCCCTTCACTTGCTGCCCACATGGCCAACAGCTGCCCCAGGGTGAGTGAGCGCTGCTGCCTGGCCTCCATGCAAGCCCCCTAGGAAATCCTTCTGCAGGATCAACGAAGGCTCTGGCGTGTGTGTGTGGGGGTGGGTGGGGGGGGGGTGACCCTTCCGGGTTCTCCAACTGACCTGTGCTGAAGGAAGTCCTCTGCTGGGTCCTCCTCCTCCTCAGCCTCCGGCTCCTCCTGCCCTGGCCAGACCTGCCGCTCTCGGGAGAGTGAGGTGGAGACCCAGAAGCATCTCCTCGCATCCTGGGAGTTGAGCTCAGCCGGTCGTCCCTTTTGGGGAGCTCCTGGGGGGGCTGGGCCGGATCCCCCCCCTGCCCTTTGTGGGGGCCTCTCCGGCCCTTCCTGCCCTTGCCCAGCTGGCTCTGGACAACCGCCTCCAAGTTCACCTCCTTCTGGCGCCCGGAGAGCCTCCGGGTCACGCGCACGTAATACTCCAGGGGAAACATGAGTCCCTCCACCACTGTGCAAGAGCTCAGCCCCTCCTCACTGGGGGTGACCCCTCCCAGGGGGGCTGGCCCTGCTCCAAGGCTGTGCCCTTCGTCCTCCCTGCTTGTCTCCCTCCTGGGGGGCTCTCCGTCATCTCTGGGCCCATCGGGAACAGCTCTGCCTCCTCGAGCAGCGTCGGGGGTCACCGGCAAGCTTCCTGCACCTTCCTTGCACCCCTGCCCAGGCTGCCCCTCGCTCCGCACGCTGGCCCATAAGGACCAGCTCCCAGCAGCCAAGTCCCCCAGACCAGAAACACCCTCTTGTTGGCTCAGAGGCTCAAGGCAGGACCCTCGACTCGCGGGTGGCAGGGAACAAGGAAGTTCTTGCATTGCCGCAGGACCATCCGTTTGCATCCGCCTGCTCAGTTCAGAGCCTGGGTCTGACATTGCGGGAGTCACATCGCCACTCCCTCCTTGGCTAGCCCGCAGGGAGGACTTGGGGGGGCTCCTCTGGCCGGGGTCCAAGAGGCTGCTGCTTCTGCTAGAGCCTGGAGACTCCCAGCCTGGCTCTGTGGCCCTCTCAGGCTCCCTCCGACGCGCCTCCCACGCCGTTTCTCCCCACGTGGCCAGAGAAAGCCCTTCTCGCTGCTCTCTGCCACGTCCGCCGGTTGAGTGCAGGCTGCTGTTCCTCGCCAGAGGTGGCTCCGCAGAATCAAAGAGCACCCTTCGGCCAGGCTGATGGGCCCTTCGGGAGCCTGACGTTTCTGGCAAGCTGCCTTCAAAGGCTCCGGACTTAAAGAGGACCGGCGTGGTCTCCGCGGTGCTGCCTGGGCAGGAAATCCCAGCCTGACCCTCCTCGGGAGACAGTTGACTGAGGTTTCCTGAAAGGACAAAGTTCTTGGGTAGATTCTTTCCCCCCTGGGGAGCAAAGAACCCAACAGAATTGAGCATCCGTGATCCAGAGCATAAAAGGGGTAGAAGGCTAGAAAAGGAGGACTGGAAAAGTCTCTTCTTCAAGAGACGCCAGCCGAGCTGCCCCACACAAACAGCCTATCGATGCATCGACTCCGTCCGGGTTGAGGAATCGAGAGAACAACTTTGTGATTACTTGCACTCTGGGCAACCTGCATCTCCACCACCATCCTCTCTTTCCCTCCTGAAGCCCTGCATCAGCCCAGCTACTTTGCATCCGACGGAATACACCTCCATCTTTTAATACAGGGGTTCTCCAACCTTGACAACTTTTAAGACTTGTGGACTTCAAGAGTTGAATTCTGGGAGTTGGAAGTCCACAAGTCTTGAAGTTGCCAAGGTCAGAGACCACAGTTTCAATAAACGTGTTTGTCAGCCTCCACCTCACACCCGCTTATGCTTCTTAGGTAGTCAGTCTGCCATAAACTATGGGGAGGGCGGATGCTTGGGGGAGAGTGAAAGTAACTTTTATTCCCCACCACCACCAAAGCTACTTGCTGCATCTCCCTGCTGCTTCAAGGTCACCTAGCTGGGAGAAGCAGGCAGCTGCATACCCTTCAAATGACCATTCTGAAAAGATCTTGCTTAAACCTGATTGGTCATGGGAGGGGGGGGTCAGTGATAGGAAGCAGCTAAGGAAGGTAAAAGGGAGCATCTTCCAGAGAGGTGAGGCAGGCAAGAAGCAGCAGCAGCGGTCAGAGCTGGGTAGAGAATAAGGACAGCCCCTCCCTAGAATCTTCCAGGATATCTCCATCAGTGTGAGAATAATAAAAGTTTAATCTAGTAAGAGCCTGTCTATTGCAAAGGTCTTCAAACTTAGCAAGTTTAAGACTTTGTGGACTTCAACTCCCAGAATTCCTGAGCTAACATGGCTGGAGGAGGAGGAATTCCGGGAGTTGAAGTCCACAAGTCTTAAAGGCGTCAAGTTTGAAGACCCCTGGTCTCTTGGGTCTAAGCAAATAAAGAACTCTGGCTAGATTACTCTTATGTCAGGGGTGTCAAACTCAAGGCATGCTTAGATATCACCCACAGGGCCGCCCTCGAAACAGCGAAGGGCCAGCCCACGGGGCCTCTGCCAGCTTGGCGACAGTCATGTCGGGTTGGCCCTCCTGAGCTCCGTTTTCACTGGCAGAGTGCTGCAGGAGGCCATCGCAGCCGAAAACGGAGCCCAGGAGGGGTGCCCCCAACACAAGTGACATCGAGATGGCCATGCCCACCTGGCCCCCGAGGTCAAACACAACCCTGATGCCGCCCTCAATGAAATCGAGTTTGACCCCCCCCCCCTGTTCTGTGTCATTTGTGAGTTCAGCCTGACATCAATCTTGGGAAAAGTCAGCTCAAACCGGTGGCTCCCGAGAGACATTCAGTGAAATCTGCCTCGAGTCAAACTTAACGCCCGGCGATCTCTGGGCGAGAACACGGCAGCAGACTGTTGCTTCTGCTACTTCTGAGGCATCTTCTTGGCTCCCCAGCCTGGTCTACAGTCATGGTGTCCCCAGAGGTGCCAAGCAGGTCTGATCGGAGGGGGCTACTATATTTCAAGATCCATCAGACAGACCCTCGCCTCAATTCTTTCTACAAGGAGCCCAACAGATGTTGTCTTAGTGTTACCTGCATGGTTCTTCACAGCTTCCTCCTGTCCGAGTAGCAGGTTCTGCTCTGCAACCGTTTCCTTGATATCGTTTTTAACCCTCGCCGCTCTCTCAGCACGCTGTGAAAATGAAAACGGTAGCAGTCACATTGCTTTGCTTTCCAGTCAATATGAAAATCAGTCCATTTCTGCTGATTTCTGCTCCCCAAGAGATTGTCCTTCAGCAGAGAATCCCTTTTTATTCACCCACCTGTAACCTGTGGAATGTTCTGTTGTATTCTCTTTTCAATACAGCCAGTTTTTCTTTCAGCTAGAAGACAAAACGATGGTTAAAGAATTGGCACGTTTAATTTGAAAAGTAACTGAAAGTTTTAGACGGCAACCATATAATTCTATTTAGATTTATGTCTATGGAGATTCTCCGTCATCCAGATGATGGTTGTCCCAGAGGTGCTTTTAATCAGGAGGCAACTGGACTTTCTTATTTTTTCTTTGAAGGCGTTTCACTTCTCATCCCAGAAGCTTCTTCAGTTCTGACTAGATGGTAGGGAATGGAAGGATTTATATTCCTTGCAGACAGCTGGTCATTTGCACCCTTTTGAATGCAAGTGTTCTGACCCAAGCCTTGTTCAAATCAAACAAACACAAAGTATGTATAAAAGCAAACCTTTTTAATGCGGCGCTGTGAATTCTATGCATTCACAGCCAAGAGTCATTCAAAACTAATTCTTCCCAGAGAAGAACAAACCCTTTCAAGGTTGCGAAAGGCTGCCAAGAACAAAAGACCAAATGCAGATAAATATCCCAAGTCAGAAGTGTCCAAAAAATCAAACCAGAGTAAGCGGGGCTTCAATGAGGACTCTGAGCATAAAGAACTTCTTGGCTTCCTGCAAAGAAGCCAACCCCAAAGGTTGGCTTTTATCCCTTATGGGAGGGGCCAACCCCAATTAAATGATGCCCCCTGCCTAGACCCTGGAAGCGCACCTTCTCTGTAGCAATGCCAGCGCTCTAGAATGGGATCCCCCCCCCCCCCCCCCCCGACAACCCCCCCCCCCCCGCAAGGACTGGCATTTTGAAGGTCCTTGAAAACCCAGGTCTTTGGCAAGGACTGACACCCCTTAAGTTTTCTTTCCCTCCCAACTTTTCCTTTGCCATCATTGTTGTTTGACTTGTGCTATTGTGTGTGTATGTATGTATGTGTGTGTGTGTTAAATTGTTCTTGGTTTTTAAATGCTTTAGTAATTGTAAACCATCCAGAAACACCGGGAGTCTGTGGGCATATAAATAGTATGGATTATTAGTTTATTTTACTCAGAACACTCGGGAATGGACTCTATAATGTTTTGTGCACTGTTTTAGGCGCACGCATTATTTTTAAATGACTGGGAATCGTCCACCATCTGGTCCCAGGGATTAAATCTCCCGAGGGGGAATAAATTAATAAGGGTCCAGTACAGGCATTTCTCTATGGGCCAAGTGTGACCAGACACCCAAGGAATTTGTCTCTGGTGCACAAGTGCTCCCACTGTAGGGCACAAGCAATAAGTGATGAGAGATCATGATCGCAGTCACCGTAAAAAGACACCATCAACCACAGGGTACCACACGTGGGGATAGTCATAGGATACTAAAATAAAATAAATAAATATTGAAATACTATTTAAATAAATAAATAAAAATAGATAAATAAAATAAATAAGCCATCGACATGAATCCTGCTGGGAAAGCAAATAAGAGTTTTCAGTTCCGGGCTGAGCAACAGCCAGGCGGGCGACGCCGCCCGAATTGGGGAAGGTCTCTCCTCCTGCAGGGAGCGGTCTTCCCTCCCGCCCGGGCTTGCAGCAGCTCAATCATAGAATAACAATTGGAAAGGACCTTGGAGGTCATCTAGTCCAACCCCCTGCTCCAGCAGGAGAGTCTCTATTCCCAAGGAAGGGCACCGGATCCCTTTCTCTGCCCGGGGGAGCCTTTTCAACCCAGTTCAGCCACCCACGAGCCTTTCCCCGCATCTTGTGGCGGGGAGTTCCGCAGACTGCGCGTAAGGCGGAGGAGAGGGGGGAAGGAAATTTCCTAGTTGCCTTGCCCGTCCTCCCGCCCGCTCTCTCTCTCGCTCTCTCTCTCTCTCGGGAGAAGGCCGGAGGAGGGTCCCCCGGGCGGCGCCCACCTGCTCCTTCTGCTGCGGGGTCAGAACCGCCGAGCCGAGACCCTCCATTCTCGCACTCCCGCTCGCCTTCCGGCGCATGCGCACACCCCTTTCGCGCCAAGTGCAAAATAAACAAAAAAAAAAAAGGCGCTGGTCCCGCCTCCCGCAGGCGCCGCGCCCAATGGGAACCCGCGATACTGGCGAGCTGCGGCTATTGGCCGGGGAGGGGGAAGTACGGAAGCCGGCTGGGCCCGGGAGGGGCGGGGGCGTTCCCGCGGACGGGCCGTACCGGGCGCCGCCATGGAGCTGGGCGAGATGCTCTACAACAAGTCCGAGTACATCGAGACGGTGCGCGGGGAGGGCGGGTGGGCGGGCGGGGGCGGGTCCTCGCGACGCGCGGCCGCGGGGGGGGGGGGGGGGGCGGAGGCCGGGCGGTGACCCTGCGGCCCTCCCCGGCAGGCCTCCGGGAACAAGGTGAGCCGGCAGTCGGTGCTGTGCGGGAGCCAGAACATCGTGCTGAACGGCAAGGTGAGAGGACGCGAGCACGGGACGAGGGGGGGGGGGGGGAGGGGGGGGGGGGGGGGGGGGGGGCGGCCGCTCCCCCCCCGCCCCCCGGGCCGGGGGGGGGGGCCCCCCCCCCCGCCCCCCCCCGGCGGGGGGGAAGAGGGGGGGGGGGGGCGGCAAAGGGGGGGAGGGTTCGAAGGGCAACAGCCCCGGGCGCCCCCCCCCCACGGCCGCCCCCCCTCCAGGCGCCTCTCTGCCCTCCCGCAGACCATCGTCATGAACGACTGCATCATCCGCGGGGACCTGGCCAACGTGCGCGTCGGGCGGCACTGCGTGGTGAAGAGCCGGAGCGTCATCCGGCCGCCCTTCAAGAAGTTCAGCAAAGGGTAAGGAGGGGGGACGGCGGCTGACCCACCCACCCACCCACCCCCGCCTCCCTACATACATATATATATGTGTGTGTGTGTGTATGTGTATGTATGTATTTGTTTTCTTAAGTTTGTATGAGTTTGTATGTTTTATGTATGTATGTATATATATATATATATATGGATATATATGCAGATATATGTGTATGTGTGTGTGTGTGTGTAGATTTTATACACACACACACACACACATACACATATAACATACATACACATCTGTATATATGTATATGTGTATGTATGTGTGTGTTTTAGACATACACCCACGCGTGTATGTGTAGATATATGTGTGCGTTTGTATGTGTGTATACTATCCTAAAAATACGAGTTGTGTTGAGAGGTGCAGCTATAAAAGAAGAGACAGACATCACGATCTCCCGAACGTAAACTGTATTACCCCCTTAACCTTCTGCTAACATCGGAGAGTCTAAAAACTGCCATTGAAGAGATATTCGCCTTTATGCATCATTGATCAATTTAGCCACTGTGCACGTAACAGGCTCTCTCTCACACACACACACACATATACATACATTATACATACACACACACATACACACACACATATATACATATACATATGTGTATATGCATGTGTATATATGTAGAAGTGTATATATGTATATATGAATATGTATAAAAGCAC